GAATATTTTATCACAGAGCTAATGCTAATACACCTACCTCGTGCCCGTCTCTCTCAGAACTGCAACGTGGTTCTCATGTCCACTATACTTATTACACCGAACCACCAAGAGAGGGCGCTGTTCTACCTCTTAACACAACCCAAATAAAATGTGATGACAAGTGGAATCATATACAATATTAATCCTGTTACACTTGCTACTCTGTCCACATGACTTGGCTACAAACCCCATCATGTTCACACGTGCTGCATGTATCATTGTGCTGGCTCCATGATCTTATAGCTTGTAGCTTCATCCTGTTTTTGTCAGTGAATGGATCAAGGCATGCTGGGATCATGGCAATATGTGAGCATGTAGCAGTTGGGACCATGCAGGTGATCTGCTGAACATTTTGAGGGCGCAGGAGTGTCTAGAGCAGAGGTTCTTAACCTTTTTGACTGATGTGACCGATACTCGCAGCCATGTGATGTGAGTATCAGTCACATGGAGGCAGGGCTTGAAAGCCTGAATTTTGCCTGAAACTCTCAGACTGAAGAAGTCTCTCGGAGAAGAGACGAAACGTTTCATTAGAGAAGAACCCGTCCAGAAGACATACACAATTTTTTTCTTTTTGTCATTACTAATGGTCTTAAAAGGTCTTTAAAAGGTCTTAAATTTAACTTAGTGAAACCTGCATGAACCCTGTCAATCCAGCATGTCCTGGGTCTTCCTCAGGGTCTCCTTCCAGTCGGACATGCCAGAAGCACCCCCCCCCAGGGAGGCGTCCAGGAGGCATCCTTACCAAAATAACCACCTCAACTGGCTCCACTTAATGTGGAGGAGCAGCGGCTCTACTATGAGTCTCTCCTGGATAACTGAACTCCAGCTACCTGTGGAGAAAACTCATTTGACCACCTGTATCTGCAATCTTGTTCTTTTGGTAACCAGGCAAAATTTGTGGCCATAGATGAGGGTAGGAACGTGGACTGATTGGTAAACAGAGAGCCTCGCCTTACAGCTCAGCTCCTTCTGAACCACAACAGACCGATACAGAGTCCACGATATGATGGATTCCTGAGGCCACGGAACCAAAGTCCCTCCACCCCCTGGCAGCACAGAGGATTTCTGTCCACAGAAACTGTGAACAGAATCTGTGACAATGGGCAGCCTTGGCAAAGTCCAGTTCCCACTCTGAAGGGTCCGACTTACTGCCGGCACTGAGAACTAAAATCTTGCACCGCTTGTATAGAGACTGAATGATTCAACGGACCCACAATCCTATACTTTGATTTGATTTAGGAATCTTTTACACAAATAAAAGTTTGGTTCTTCAGAATTGACTTTGGTCTAGAATTTGAACATCAGGAGATTAAACTATGTCAATATATGCATCTCATGAGTGTCTTTTTATTTTTTGTCCAGTTCCATCAACAAAAACTATGTATGTCAGCTACACGAACCACGCCATGTGATGAGACCCTTCAGCAGGATGAAGATCTACCTTGCCCTAATCTATCAGTCCCAGAAGAGACGAGGAGAAAGGACATCTTCTCTGAACTGAGGGATCAGGTAATAAAACCTCTGACAGACTGAACCATCACGTGGGGTTTACCGGTTTACAGACAGCAGGAAGAGACCCTGAACGGCTCAAAAACTGTTGAAAACCATCCATGGACCCATAAACAGGACAACGGATGGCAGCTTGAAAACTAAACAAAAGAATTACATTAAAAAATAAAATAAAAAATAGTCTGTTGTTACTCTAATTGTACATTTAAAAAACAAAAAGAACAAAAAATCTTGGTTGTGGTTGTGGACATTTCTGATTCTCGTCTCATATCGTCCGTCTCATGATGTACAGAGCTTTTAAAAAAATATTCATCCCCTGTGATGTTTTATGCTCTTATTGCTGTCATATGTAAATCACGGTCAGTGTATAGTAATTAATGAAACATCCGGGGGGTGAATACTTTCTTATAAAATCTGTACAATATGAGAGGAGTTTGTGACTTGTAGCTTTTGGTTGTGAAACATTTAAACCCCATGACTGAACTGAAGCATGTCCCTTTTCTACAAATGATCTATTTATAATAAAGGAATGTTTCACATGTCTGTCTGCCATTCTTTATCTGTTCTTATGGGCTTCCTAAAGGTCCAGTTTTGCTTACTTTTTAAAATGTTCTTCAAAACATTTTGTTGCCAATAGCAAACGTGAGGTTCATAAAGACCTGGAGAGTCCTGCAGTCACCTGCAGTCTTCTTTCTGACGCCACCTTCAGCCTTAATAAAGAGCCATCACCATCAAAATAAAAGGTTCAGGCAGGATTTCAGAGGAAATGTTCCCTTCATGCCTTAAAATAGCTGATCTTTAACCTTAAACTTTAACCCCAATTAGTTTACAAACTCTATGAATATGCAGATTAGATGGTGCTTCTGAGTGCAGTGAGTCCTCTACTGTTTTACAGTATCAACACTATTCAGGCACCAAAAAGCTGCAGCCTCTGTGCATCTATTAACACATATGTAGTGCAAACAATAGCAATAAATAGTTACTACAAAGGAATCATTACAACGGACATTAATTCAAGTTCTGAAGTGACTCAGAAGCTTAGCTTTAATAAAAACTCTGACCTCACACAGAAAAAAGTGAAGGACAATAATATTTTATTAAAACATATAAATTTAGAAATATTTACCCAATGAAAATATCATATATATATTTATAAATGGATAATTCCTGTTAAACATGGCAGAAAAGTGATTGACTTAATGAATTATAAAATGGAGAATCAGACATTAAATATAAAATGGAGAAGAGAGAAAAATAATGTTAACTTTGAGTTACTGAGATCTCTTTAGGATGATAAAAATGAAGTACTTTGATGATGATGATGGGTTTGATTAGAATAATAAATAAACAAATTACAGCAACTAATAAAGCAGGAAAGATTTGACTGTGATGAGAAAGTTGTCCAACTAATGACCAAGATCCAGGTGAGCAGTGAAGATAATCCCAGTCACAGGTAATGTGAAGAGGTTTGCTGTCATCTGCAGTAATGATCCGGGTCGGCGCAGGCATGTCCCGTTTGTTTAAACCACTGGAAGCTGGCAGTGATTTTTGTGCTGTACAGTCTCATAAACATAACCTCAAACCTGTAGAACAAAATTAATAAAAAGGTAAAGGTTTGCAGAACAATAAGAATCCAGACAGTGCTGCATGAGCAGAGTTGTAAAGTCACAAAGTACAATTACTTTGTTACTGTACTTAAGTAGAAATTTTGGTTATCTGTACTTTACTTGAGTAATTATTTTTCAGCGTACTTTTTACTTTTACTCCTTACATTTTTACACAATTATCTGCACTTTCTACTCACTCCATTTTTAAAAAAGGTAAGAAGTAGAAAGTCGTTACTCCTATTTTATTCCGTTGTTATTACTTAAAAAAAAACTATCCTGATTGTATCTCCTGGATAGAGTGAATTTAATTATGTTTGGATAAGAAGTATAAATATATACCATTCTGACACTCTGTTAGCTTGTACACAACCCATCATCAAAAATATTTTTTGAGAAGTCACCTCCCAATAAATGTCATTTTGGAAAATCTAACTGCTCACTTTTACTCAGTACTTTTACTTTTAATACTTAAGTAGATTTTGTGTCAGAAATTTACTTTTGATACTTAAGTACAAAAAACATCAAATACTTAGTATCACTTTGTGGTACTTTATACAACACTGTGCATGAGGAAATGAGGATAGAAGCAGGTTAGCCTCTCAAAACTGATAATAAGAACAGAGGCCTTGAATCCTAATAATGAATTTAATTTGTACCACACTTTTCATTAGCAAAAGTCTAAAGGCACCACAAAACACAAATAAAATTAGTTAAATCACAAAACAAAATAACAATAAAATTATACTAATAAAAGCAACAACCAAAGTTGGAAAAAGGCTCGATTTTAAAATACAGTAAATCTAAAATTAATTATGCCATCAAGCAGCATAAGCCAGTTAAAAAGAAAAGTATTTGTTAAAGTCACCCCAGAGATTTTAGAGCTCTCAGAGAGTTGGGGGGTGGGGGTGTTTCCAAAGGTGGGAGGCAGCCACACAGAACACCTCATCCCCTGTGGTCCTAAGGCTTGAGGTAGTTGAAGGAGATTACTGCTCTGGCTGCACTGTTTTGATTATATTAAAGCTTCTGGATATTTTTTTATCAGGAATTCCAAAATACAGCGAGCTGCAGTAGTCGAGCCTGGAGGAGACGAGCGTGGACAAGTTCCTCCACATCAGCAAAGGTGGGAGAGGGAAGAAGTTCGGAGATGTTACGGAGATGGAAGAAACAGATTATAAACAGATGTTTAATGTGATTTTCAAATGTAAGATGAGAGTACAGTCTCACTCCAATATTAGTCTCAGAGGTGGGAAGGGGAAGGTTATGTTCAGAGAAGGAAATTGTTACGGTTGACATCTGAACTCGATCAGTAAGGCCGACTAATGACTTGGCCTAAAAGCAGCATGTTAAGGAAAAATAGCGGGGTCTCAAGAACTGACCCTTGAGGGACACCACAGGTGACACAGCCAGTCTAGAACTTGGCATTGCCAAGGCTAACATACTCCAGCCAATTGGAGAAGAAAGATATAAACCAGTCCAGGAGACCATAGACTGACCTACACATGAAGACGGTGGAGGAGGATACTATGATCCACAGTGTTGAAAGCTGCAGTGAGGTCAAGGAGTACGAGAAGGAAGGGAGACCCAGAATAAGCAGCCATGAGGACATCGTTGGTAACCCTCAGCAATGCGGTCTCAGTGCTGTGAGCAATACAAAAACCAAGTTGATGACTTCATTTTCTTCTGAGCGACCTCATCAAAGAAGGTAAGAGACCCAGGATGCAGACAGGTGGATGGCAAATCAAGATCAGCCTTCCTGAATTCCTTTGCAGCTAATAGGGTTCACTTTGCTCTTAAAAAATGAAAGATGTTGCATTTTACATCAGAGGCTTCAGCATGAATTTGTTTAATGGGATTAAGGATGTGATTTATTGTGGAGAAGAGCTGTTTAGAGTTACCAGGACAGCTGTTACTGATGTTGGAGTGATTCTTTGAGAGAATCAGCGTAGGCTTTCTGATGATCTTTATTATAACCCAGCTTATGTACAGAGAGACCAGAGGACTGTACATGTCTCTCAATATAACAGCCAACAGCTTTCATCTTATGCAGATCACCAGTGTGCCAAGGGGCTGAACAAGAGAAAGACTGTATTGATTTAAGGGGAGCATGACGGTCCAGAAGTACATGGTAATAATCTACAGTCATTTGCAAAAAACAAGATCTGGTAACAACAATCATTCTTAGATATCACTTGTGTTAATCTTTGTGTTTTCCCTTGACCCAGCATTTCCTTAGAATGAAATCATGCTTTATGAAGATGACATAATAGTGTTTGTTAAACAGTATTTGTCAGACCATAAGCTCTCAATGAGACACATCGACTCCCTCTAAGTAAGACAAACATGTCCATGGTGAGAAGTGAAAACATAATGCACGGGGATTTCAGGATTTGATTTATGGTTCTACCAGAAAGTAACAAACGGTGCACTAACAACATAATGGTTGTCTTTGCTTCAATCATACAAAAAAACAATGTAGCATTTTTTTTATTTTGCAATTGTTAAAACTAAAAAATAAACAACAGATTATTAATTTTTTCTCATTTTATTTTGAAATGGAAAAACCAAAGAATACACAATGGATTTAGTGTAAATAAAGCCCTTTAAGACAGGAAACAACAGTGACTCCATCTGCTCTGAATTTGACCTTTAACATCATTCAAACCTTAGTGCAGCAGGAGAGTCAGCACAGTGTGAGCCTCATTATGGACGTTAAAAAAAGACAATCGATGTGATCAATACGTGCTGCGCAACAGGAGAGGTCAGATCGATATGAGCTGCCAGAGAAGACTCCTCATGCATATAATGAATATTTCTGCAGGTCTTGGCAGAAAAGAAGACAAGAACAAGTCGAGGCTGAGTGATGAATCCTCCTGGTGAGCTGCTTTTATTTCCCTGGATGCCGTTCTTATTTTGTCACATTCAAAATAAACTGATGAAAAAACATCTTTGTGTCCTTGTTAAAGAAAACAGCACAGATTTAACAGCTTGAAGGAATCTCTAAACACATGTTGCTTATTCTTAGGATTAATTGTTTATTGGGCATCCATCATGTTAAAGTTTTTGGGATGTTTGTGTTTCGAACAGCTTTTTTTTTAAGCGCAATGAGTGAAGTCAGATGGGTCCACTGAGTTCTACTGGAGCAGATCTGAGCCTCAGACCTGAAGTTTAACACAATCCTTTTGGACCTGGAACCATCAAAAGAAATTTAAAGGGATCCTTGATTAGTTGTAACATTAAACTTTATTTGATAAACATTTATTTAACTGTAAAATAAAGACTGTAAAAATACTGTAGGCTG